AAACACAATATGTGCTGGTTTTTCTAGAAGGTTCTGCTTGTTATTTAAAGATTAAATTTATACGACTGCAAATCCTGCAAATTAGCTTTGTTTGTGCACTCACTGCATTGCTTTTTGTTCTGCCTACACATAATGTGAGTGAAAAATGGGTGAAAAAGTACTTGCTAAGTGAGATTTCATGTTGTTAACATTCACAAACATATGTCAAGGTAAAAGTTAGCAAGTTAATGTCATTAGCTACCAAGCTAGCTAGCAAGCTAGTGTCATTACCATTACAGTTGGGTTAGTTAGCTATCAAGCTAACTAACAGTATGCATAGGGTAGCTAGTGCAGTAGCTAGCTAACGTTTGATAACCTTGAATGTTTTTCCAATTATGTGGACATTGTTCAGTCGAGTTATTTCTGTATTGCTCCTTTACATTTGAAAGGAAAGCTTTGGCAAAAATCATATTTACTCAATTTTCCACTTACCCCAGATGCAGTCAATCAGTCAAGACATGTTTGGTGTCCAAATTCTGCTTCTTTAGTTTAGCGCTGGAGCTACAAGGCTAATGTTGCTAACAAACAACACCCACAACTTTACCATAAATGCCAAAAATGTCTATTAACTCGTTTAAAACCTCATCCAGGTCTTATGGTAACCAATGCAGTAGCTAGCTAATATGTAATAACCTTGAATGTCTTGCCAATTATTTGGACATTTTTCAGTCTGGCTACTTCTGTATTTCTGTTTTGATCCTTTACATTTAGGGATTCAGTATCATAGCCGAAAGGCTTAGTTTGGCAAAAAAAAATCCAATTTACACAATTTTTCACTTACCCCAGATGTAGTCGATCAGCTGAGACATTTGGTGTTCAAATTTTGCTTCTTTAGTTTAGGTTAACATGGCTAACAAACACTAGAAGTCAATAGTCACCCAAATCTGTTCCATAACATGCCTGAAACCTCTCTCATCCCACTCAAACCACATCCAGATCTTTATTGAGGTCATACAGATTTGTCAGTGTGGTTTAAGCCACAGTATGACTTTCATGTAATGTAGGCTTTAAATGATAAAAATGAACAGAACGTCATCATGTAGCTAAACGCAGCAAGCAGCCATTTCAGAGAACGAACTGTGTACTGAACCACATCAACAAGTCTTTGAGACATTAATGAAGACCTGGATGAGGTTGAGAGAGAGTTGAGAGAAGTTTTGGGCATTCATGGAAACGTTTGGGTGACTATTGACCATTTTTTTGTTAGCAACATTAGCCTCGTAGCTCCAGCGCTAAAGTAAGGCTGGAGTCTATCCCAGCGCTAAGCGCTTAACTAAAGAAGCAAAATTTGAAGACCATAGCTTGACTGATTAACTACATCTGGGGTAAGTGGAAAATTGAGTAAATTTGGTTTTTTTGCTGAAGGATTCCAAGAACCATCTGCATCTGAAGGAATCAATTAGGGATCCACGATGAAGGATTTTTTTTTTTAAGTTGCTTTGAAGAACCGCTTAGAGTTTGTCTTGTGGAACAAAAAAAATGTGGCAGCAATCAAAAAAGATTATTTTATTCCATCTACAATTCTTTAGGGGACCACAAGTGTTGTTTTTCTATAGCATCGCTCCAGCGAAACCTTTTTGGCACCTGTTTTTAAGCGGGTGTGCTTTGTGAAGCGCTAGGGTTAACAACGAGAACAGACTGAGAGACTCCACTTTTAATGAGTATTACAGCACATGCTGTTGTTTCTGTTGCTGTGGGAGTCCCAGTAAAAGTCTTGTCATCAGCAGCTTCATCCTTGGATACACCAATATTGGATTGCTAAGCTATCCAGCCTAACATATATTACAAAGATCTATCCATTTCTCAGGCATACACATATTCTTATGTGTATTTGAGAGGACTTAAAACATAATCACCTAAATATTTAGAACCATACATTCCTTAATAAGCATTTTAGACTTTACTCTCAACACTGCCGAGCCCCAAAACCTGACCTCATGAAGAATCCATAGGAATTGCAAATTGAGTAATTTTGATGTACTTCATGTAGAGGAATTAATTAGAAAAGACTCAACCACTCAGCCCCCCTTAAACCTATCCAGTTATACCTGTTTTTATGAGCTGTATCCTGTGGATTCCTATGATTTTGTGGTCGTGGGATATAATTAGAGCACCACTGTGGTTGATGTTAGCCTGCTAGAAGCTCAACCTGAATTTTTCCCCCAAGTATTTCTTGTTTGCATCAACGTAAGGGTATGTACAGTTTTCCTCTGTTTCTTTTTGGATGTTCGTTGAACCAAGAGCACATTTCTTGGCATCGGCTACTATTAATGTCACATCTAGAACTCAGTGTTACCATTTGGTTGTTCTACAAATTGTACCTTTGACACGGCAATGTGAGCACAGTGACTCAGTAGTGACTCAACTGAAACAGTATATTCATTATTTGCATCCATCATAACAGTCAGAACTGAGGATTGCTTAAAAGTAGTTCAACAATTGTCAAAATGTGACGCTTCTCCGAGAACAGAGAGCTATGGGCAGAAAAGTAACAGGCCCAGAAACGACAGGGAGGCACTATAGAAAACAACATTTTTTACGGAATTGTTTTGGTCTGTTTGAGCAAACATTTAATTCTAGTCCCACCGTAATAAAAGGACGCTGAGATCGGAATATAAACATCTCCCAAAGTTAAACCAGATGCGGCGTGCAGTCGGGAGTGCCTCTCTGCGGGCTGGGGGAAAAAAACAAGTGAGCTATTCCATACAGGAAAATGAGTCAGTGGCCCTCTCATTTCTGAACTCACCTACCACGAGCCAGAGGCTGCCTCGAAGAGCCTGGTGTTTTACTGCACCGTCATAGGATGAGCTTGGAGCCCGAACTTAGCCGTCACTGGATTCCATTTGGTCAGGGCTGAAAGTCTGTAACTTCTTAAGCCCAAACCTCAGGGTAAATCCTGGGTTTTCTGTGGTTTGCCTTTGTTGATGCTGAAAACTGTAAACGATGCATTAACTCACCACTGGAGGACTGTGGCTTTCAGACTGCAGTGGACTGGACTGGATTATTCCATCAAAACATTTCATTAGGATTCAGTATTATATCCAAATGCGATGCAGAATTTTGTCTCTGTGTACCAATAAGTAGGAAACATGCACGTTGGCTGTGGTCACATGTAACAATACCCATGCGTTCATAAACTTCAACAGTATCTACGCTTTGATCAAAAACGATACGGACAAGCAAATCAAGAAATCTGTGTTTTAATCAGAGATAAAATGTAAGTATAAAAATACAAAAATAAGTCGATACATTAAGAAATTTCACAGTAGATACACAAGTACTGTAAAAACAAAAAAACAAAACAAAAAAGAAAAACAGGAAAATATATTTACAGGGATACATATCCAAGCTTGGATATGTCACAACTTGGATTATGCAACAGAAATGCAAACTATTCTGTCATTTATTCACAAAACAAAACATAGCAGATTACTATATTACTATGTAGAGGTTCACTATCTAGCAATCAACCAGTCTGACTCTTAACAGCGGCTCTGAATGGTTCCCTAACACCAAAATAATGCACTCAAGTAACCCACAAATGCTCACTCACACAATAAACATTAAAACAGTAGAATGTACTGGACATATTTGAACCAACACAGCCTCCTCATGAAAACTACTGCCTTTATAGTGTAGCTGGTAATTTCACTGTTTGGCTGGTGGCTCTGTTGGGCCAATGCAGCGGCATAATCTGGGGCTCGAAAACTCTCGTACTGTGGCTGCAGAATCCCTCACCTCCAAACAGAAGAGAGCGGAACTCGCACTCCACACGCACTCTGCTTTTGGCTTTATCTCTATTATAAACAGTCTCCAGAGTGTGTAAGAATTCGGCCTCTACTGCCACATGGCTTGCTGAAAGAGGCACGCTTCGGGGAGAGAGGGTTCAAGGGCTCCAAGGCCATGTTTCTCAAAGGTTTTTGAGATTTACTGACCTTACCTGTTATTCTAATAAACACTTTCCTTTTTTCCAACTTGCAGTGTAGTTGACCTAGCCATGCTCCGCCTATGCGTTCTTTCATAGCAACTGTTGCCAGGTTGGGCAAGCTTTATAGAACGTATACAAAAATCAAAGCCTGGTTCATGCACTGCACTCTCAGTTTGAATATTTGTACCCTCATATAAGCTCTAGAGAAAATGCATTTAGACATTCGGCCTAAGTCCTAGCTAAGACCAGTACTGCAGCCAGCAGATAACCTGTACATAGAATGGCTCTGGTAGTGAAGATTAATTCGTTTACATAGTGCTTATATGACTGATATAGCTAATGTCAGGGGAAGGAGGAGGGTTACTATGATGCACACATCAATTTTTTAAAATAAATAGTATCTGAATATCCCATGCAATTATTTCATGTTACCCTCTTCCATAGCACCCCTTTTTTTCGAGAATACACATCAGGGGACAACTTGTTCAATTTTTAGTGCTGGACTGCACTGCTAACAAGGATCTGGGGCCGGATTCACGAAAGTGTATTAAGAAAGAAAATCTTCTTAAATGCGTGTTTTTAACTTCATTCTTAAGAAAAAAGTTACGAGAAATCGTTATTCTGTTTTCTTAAGAATAATTCTAACAGCAAATGGTATTCTTGAAAATATTATGTTCTTAAATGTTTTCTTAACCTTACAATAGCCTCACACTTGTCTTAGGCTGTGAGAGTTGAGAAGGTCAGCGTCTAAACGGAAATAACAGTTAATACAAATTCAGAATGTATCCCGCGTCGTTTATGGTACATGGTAAAATGCTACGTAGCATTACAGGAAAATCTTAAGAAAATAAGATTATCTTAAAAGAATATTTGAGAACTTTTTATGTTTTTTTCAAGAACTTAAGAACATTCATACGAACTTCTTAGTGTTCGTCTCAAGAAGTTTTTTCTTAAGAATCCGGCCCCTGGAGTACGACTGATAACACAGGCATAAGAAGCTTGGTAATTGCCGCGTTGATCTTCGAAATGAATGTTTCAGTAACACCGTTCGATTCAGTTTTGTCATAGTTGTGCTCGTTGGAAAAATGTGATTCCATGAAACCACTTCAAATGCTTTGTCTTAAGACAGTAACTGGAGAAAGAGGGCTAACTTGGGCTAACAATAGACTCGTTGTTCATTGGACAAGGTTGATGAGCACACCATCACTTAATCCTTTCAGCTCAGTCTTCACGAGACATCGGATCGGTCAGTGTGTTCCCATCCTAACAGATTTACACTCCCACCCACATTCACCCTAATAAGTTCAATCTGGTTGGCGCTACATAACATCTTCCAGTTTCGAGTTTACAATACTACGCTGTTGAGCTAGACTGCGTTGTTTTACTCAGTCGAAAGTAGGCAGGTTGGAAACAATAACAAAGCTGCCACCATGCTAATGTTAGCTTGATGACACAACTACACCCAACCCATCCTAACAGGTTAACCTTTCAAATGGATAAAAAAACAATATTTTTGAAATTCAGAACTTTGCGTAGTGTGCTACTATTTTTTTGGTTAAATGAGATTTTTGCCAATGTTATGTAAAGCTTGTTCAACCTAGCAATGCATTTGTGGGCAGAGCATGGAAAGGTCTATCAAAAGGGATTCAGTGTTTAATTGTTTATGTAAGCATCTATGCATTTTATTAACAATGCATAGCAACGGTTGCATCTGTCTTTGGCAAGTGTTTACACTGTATACATCTAGAAACAGGAATTTTGAGTGTAATTTTTCATGAACCTGTATTGAACTACAACTGTTTTGCACATGAACACTGACAATAACACAATAAATATCTCCATGAAGGCAGCTGATCTGGGAATATGCAATTCAAATGAAAAGAACTATAAATAAAAACATGTTTTTGGAGAACTGGCTTCCTCCAATAAATAATAGCAGTAATGTATTTACAATATGCACATTGTCAGGCCCCAAATCTGATAAACAGTTTATCACTTCAGTTCTTCACTACAATACTATAGCAGATAGCAAGAGAGGCACACATTTCCCTTGTAATATGTACTGCATGCATCTACGTATATCAGTGGTTCATTTAGAACAGAGGACTCTGTCGGGTAGTTACGACTCGCTCACGTGAACTGCGCTGTCAGTGGATGTACGAGGAAACGAAGCTCATGCAAAGCCAGCGTCTCTAAAAGAGTGAATTCTCCTCACTGTCTTCTTCACCTGCAAAACAACAAAAAGCAGCGAGTGAAACACTGGTGATCATTGAAGCGCTGCCTTTTTGTCAAATTGGAACCATGCAGGGAACAAATGTAAGCCCTTTCCTGAGCAAAAGCTGACCCATAACACATGCAAATCTGAGATAGACTGGGCAGTTATGGACTTCATTAGGGAAGTAACATAACACCACTATGTGTATCTGCATCCGTTTAGTGCTCATAATAGGACTATCTATATTTGGATTTGAACTGGAAGTGGACGTGCTTATCAAATTCAGTGTTTTTGTTTAGCTGAGCCAACAAGAATTTGATACCCTACATAGAATGTAGTATTTCTATTTTAGCGAGTAGCATACTCAACCAGATCAACTTGACATGGCATTGATAGGAAAGCAATTTCACCAACTTTTATGCATTTCTGTAAACACGCTTATCCTATTTTGATTAATGTTTCAGAGAGGTAGCGTTGTAGCATTAGGAGTCTTGCCCAAGGACTCTTATTGTTGTCATGGTGTGCTTGGAGGGAATCATACCCTAGCCTAGGCAGCAGCGTTACCCATTACATAGCCTCATGGGGCCAGACGTGACTGCATAATGAGAACGTCTGGGGACAACATGAGAAGTTGTTGGTTAAATGTGGGTGGGAACATAGATTTATTATCATGGGAACAAACTGTGTCATATTTCTTTCTTTTTTATTAATTTATTTTTTCCATTTTTTCCCCCAATTTAGTCGTGCCCAATTCCCATCAGCAAGGTCTCCCCCAGTCACACCATACTACCAAAACTGAGAGTGTGAAATTTATAAACCAATCCGATGCCTCGTGAAGGCGGAGCTCGTAGGAGCAATGGTGCATTTGACTAACCGCTGTTAGCCCATGGCTGCAAGGTAAGTTAGCAAGGCTGAAATTTAGCACGTTGATGTCGCACGTGCACATTAGGTGCAGTAAAAATGCACCTCTTATAAAGGAAAAACAGTTGTGCTAGCGAATGATACCATTTTGATAGCTAGCTTTTCGCTTGTGTTATTGATTATACTCCAGACGGTAAAAGGGCACAGACTAGAGGAATTTAGGGGTGTGTTTTGGAAGGGCCGTGTCCTTGCTTCGCAATCCAGCTCCGCAAGTTTAAGTTGTCTACAGGCACGTATTCTCATTAAGGGATAACATCTGGCCCAGCAAGACTACCCACTAAGCATCACTAATTAGATAAAAACTTTCAAAGAAAACGATTAGTGCATCCCCTAGCGGGGACGCAGGAAGTGGGGGGTCTTGAGGGGCTGCAGCACTCCCAGATTTTAGCACTGTTTCACTGTAATTCCGAAAAGCAATAACAAAAAAAAAATAAAAAAATAACAAGAGAAAACAGTTTGAGCATGGAAAAGACCCATGTGCTTTTTGTAAAGTGAAGTCTGTATTTTTATTTTGTGTTCTTTATATATGTTCAAAATCTGCAGTAGCCACACTGTTTAAGTTAATGCAGGCTTTAAGAACAAAGTCAAAGTGTTGGCCACTTCGGCGGCACATCGCTAAAACAGAAGCAGGAATTATGGGCTAGTTCTTTGCTTAAACGCGGCATAGTATTTGTTTTAAAAAACTGTTTCAGTCAATGTAAATTGTACCTCTCCCATCCTTTTTTTCACCATTGTACAAATCCTATTAGCTATGCACATGTAGCTTCACCATGGGCGTGACCCAAGTGGGTTCATATCAACAATACGATTTGCATAAAGTTTGTCCAGCAAGAGACAGCAGGGTGTGCATCAGCGGATACTGTGACGGTTATATGTGCATATCTGTGCTGTCGTCTCTCTAGCATACACTCTGTTCCTCTGTATCCAAACAAGTGAAATGGAAAAAAGTATAGCATTTACCATGATGTCATGGTTTGCGTCTCCTATATGCTGCTACACATTCAGCTTTAACGACTTTAAACACCTTTCTGCGTCCCTGTCCCCTAGTGTCTGCACTTATATCTGTTAAGATCGCATTCTCTGTAAACTCAAAATGATATATTACATATTTGTATAAGGTAACATCCCTAGACTCCACGTCTTCTCTGTTTGTATGTCATTTCAGGTCTGCTGTGTTTGTGTGGGAGGTGTTTAGACCGGAACAATGACCCAGTCCTTACTTCTGCAATGTCCATAGTGGCGCACTCCTATGGAGCGGCCAAAGAAGCAGGTGGCCCGGCGCAAATGGCAGGCGCTGGGGTAGGTGATGTTATCGTTGCCGCAGATGGTCTGGTCAGTGAGCAGGGGCAGCGGGCAGGGGGCTGTGCGGCACATTACGCAGTGGGCACTGTTGGTCTGGTCTGTCACGCAGGTGTGGGTGCCAGGGCACACCACGTTGGAGCAGGACTCTGAAAGAAGGGGTGAAGTCTCAAGTTTAGTTTATTACAGACAAGCACATTTGTTTTAGTTCTCTCAACTCGCTTAAATGCCAAAGGCGATAATGTGGGCCCACACTTTTATTTCTTACTCTCATAACTACATAGCGACGACACGATACAACTTCTTCTTTTTCAAAACCAATACCGATACTGTCTGATAACGATCTGATATTTTCTCTTTAAAAACTAGTAAGCTTTAAAAGGAGCATTTTGCTTAAGATGAGCATCTAAAAGTGGGCTGTCGTACTCAAAGTACCTAAAAACTCTACTACCCCACAGGAAGAAATACACAGCTAACAACATGGCATCACACAATGTAGCGTGTGCTATTTCAGGACAGGTTTGTTACGGGACTGGGTTGGATTCATTCTTTTAAGCCACTTTTCCCCTGCATGGTACCGTAGACTATCTGGTAACTGGTAGTAGGTATTATTTTTTGTATCACCTCCATCAAGGATCTAAGCAAGCTGAGTCAATACCAAAAGGTGACGTAAAAACACTGCAGACTACTGATTGGTCGGAGAGAATCGCTAAACACATGCTAACAACAGCTACCAGGTTAGCATGCCCTTTCACGACGCCTTTTTTGAGCAACCAGAATTGTCTTGTTGTCTGAACTCCACCATAAGCCTCTTTTGAACAAAATTTGTTTCCTTCATGTCACGGTAGTTTCATGTGGTGTTGCTATGACGACCAGATACATTGAGGGGGTACTACATCTGCAGTGAAAAAAGAAGCAGCTGGTACCAAAAGTGAGTTGGGTCGAGTCGAGCCGTACCATGTTGTGGAAAAGCGGCTTTATTCCCCTCCAATATCCAATTTGTGGATGTTAACGACGGAAGATTACTAATTGAATAATAAGGGGTTAAGATCCTCGTTGAAATCCTGTCATTAGATGTTTTTCCATACGCTAATAGCAACTGCTGGACACCATAAAGCACTAAAAGCAAGTGTAATGTGAGTGACTAAAAAGAGCAAGGCTCACTTTTGCACTCTCCCTGGTACATGATCTCCAGGTCAGGATGACCTCTGCAGCGGGCCATCAGAAGCGCGCACTCGTCTTTATACGAGTTCCCATCACTCCCACAGACAGCGTGCTTTCTGGAGACGTTGGAGCAGTCTGGGGAGCACACACACTGAGGGCGTCCGCCCTTCATCTTACACACCTTCCCCGGCCCACACTGCACCCCTTCACACGTCTCTGTGCGAAAAAAAAAGGGCAAACACCACAACTGAAAACATTTCCATAGTGTTTCATATGACATGAATAAGCGAACAGTGTAATGCAGCACTGGCTATATAGAACATTGATTAGCATTCTACAAAATGTGCTGTTTGTTCTCATAAAGTCTTCAAAACTTCCCCTAATTCCATTCATCTCATTGAAATTATTGTCACAGCTGTGCTGTAATACATACAGTATTCTAAAAATTTTCTAAAAACTGCTGCCCTCATCCATTCACAATGAAAGGACCGATAGAAATGGTCCAAAATTACTTAGAGAAAAATTCTGTGCAAAACTCCACGATATCCTTTGTTTATTTGATTATCTGTCAAAATTAGCCATAAAGTTATTCATTTTTAAGGACAATTGAACAACAAATTGCACCGAACTACTAAAAACAATATCAAATGTTTACATATTTTGCATGTCCAATGTTTGCTTTCATCACAACTTCCATTCTTTTTGGAAGACTTGCTCTCTGCTTTTAAAAAAAATCAGGGATATTTTCCCACACATAAAAAGTTCAGTCTTAGAAGTTGGTTACATTTTGTGCTTCTCACGAAGCAAATAATCCCAAACACATTTGAGGATCTTGAGGACTGTCCACTGTTCTGAGAACAGCAGCTGCTTCTTTGTTAGATTTCCTTATTCCCTAGTTTTCTTATTTAATTTTCTCAGTAAGAGCTTTTTGACAGCTACACATCAGACTCATAACCTTTTTGCAGTGGAAAGATGGACAGAAACACCTGTGGGTTTTTCCAGATTTGAAGGTGACAGTGTTGGTGGTCTACCAGGTCTTGCGTGGTTGTTAGGAGTCCCATTGTCTTTAAATCTTTTAACCATTTTTTAAACTCCAGTCAGAGACCACCCTTTATTATTTAATTTCTAGTTAAAACAGATGCCTAGTTTCAACTAGAAATTAAATTGAAGGGTGGTCTCTGACTTTTCCTCAGTAAAGTATGAGTGGTTTCACTTATTTTCCTTTGACTTCCCCATCCTTATGCAAGCAGAATGTGAAGGGTGGTCCCTGACTTTTGCACAGAACTGTACTTTATCCATAGAAAAGCAACTCAGAATCTCTCTCATGTCTTCAATATGAGTGTTGACATATGCCAAGACCATGAAAGCCCTGACCCTCAGTCCGGTCCACTGAAAAAGCCTTTTAATATCCTGTTTTCTGAGGAGTGTACCCCACTACCACTAAATCACTCCCAGCATGAGCAGATACATCTGCCTCCTCTAGACGTCCCAGCAATCTTTCTCTGTGTTTGAGCTACGTCGAGACTGCAGTTGACAGTTTGGGCACTCCCATGACGCGCTCCGAAAACCAGACTGTAAGGAAATGTACAGATTAGTCAGACAGTATGAGCTGAACCTTCAGGAATGCTCTACCGTTCTTGTCATGGAGAGTCACCAAGTGAGGTCCGGTGGTCCATTTAGTCTAATGGCAAAGGAAGAGTATTCTGGAACAAACAATCAAAGAGACATTCTCTTTTCCCCCATTCCTTTCCTGTACTCCTTTTTTTTTTCGAAGTTTCTAATGACGCTGGTTGTGTTCTAAGCTTATGAGGACCAGACTTCTCCAGCATGTGGCAGCCATTTCTCGCTGCGGTAAGCTGGAATTCAGTCATTTCTGCGGGAGGAAGGCAAAACAAGCCTGCTTTCCAATAAGCACTCGGAAAGAGTGAGGAGGAGAGAGAAGGGCAAGAAGAAGAGAACCGCTATTGTATCGAGCACATTCCATTTTACTCATGTGAAGTGCAAATACAGCTGGCCTTCTCCAGAAGCTGAAACTTAAAACTAGCTTAACTAATTCTCTCCTTTCCCTCAGATTAATATACATCCATACTGCCCCACAGTCATCACACTCACTGTTATTTTGGCACCTGCTGATCTCTGGGACAAGCAAGGCTCATTCACTGATACGATAATATTCATCATTCTAGAGGTCTTTTTTATGTTTTCCTGAGATGGAATTACATCCCGGAGTCTGGAATGTAATTGAAGAGACATGTCTGTCCACATTCTTAATGTATATATATATATGCATTCTATATCCTTCCTGCATACCTGGCCGAGACTCACAATACTGGATCATACACAGAACAGCTGGATGGAGTTACACAGAACATCTGGCTTAAATCCATACCAAGCCTTTTCAAATCTGAGGAACAAAATTTAAAGAGCTCAGTCATCAACCCCAGATTCGCCCTGAACCGTGGCATGTCTGAGCGCGAATCTAGGTCTGCCACACTTCCCCCTCAATATGCCTTCCTCTTTCTCCCTTCACTATAATAGCTTTGATATACAGTGAGCATTCACAAGTGTCATGCAGTATACAGAGGGCTTGCTGTTCCTCACTTTCATGGAAATGACTGATGGCCTGAAAAATCTTGCAAATCACTGCTTGGCAAAGTTTGGTGAGCAAGGTGTTCCTTCCTAAACCCTTCAATGGCCAGGGCCCACTGGTGGGCCCAAAGTATTATTATACACTTCTTTCAGCAAAGAACAGTTCAACCAGTTTGCACTGAAGTCCCCGTGGATACTGAATAATGAGGCTTAGTATATAAAATACATGGGATTTTAGGTTAATATAAGTCAAGACTCAGTTTGACAACTTTGGACAATGCCTTTGACCACTGTCCATTTGAAGATCTTAAAACACCTAACAACAGGTGAGCAATCAATCCAATACAATCCTCATTTCTAACTGAAAATGCACGTCTAGTTAAAGAGGAATTTCTGTGTAATTAAATGGCTGAAATGTAAGCAAAGTCATTCAGATTGGTTTGATGCCAAATGCTCCATTCTAAGTTTGTTTACATCTCATCAATTGAGCTATGCAGAAATGTTGGAAAGTTTGTGGAATTCCTCTTCGGCATTCCTGATACGCATTACTATTACAGGCTTTTGGGCACAAATGGTCAAGCTCTGTTATCAAACCACAATGTGAGGCATTTCAAGCTAAGGCATACCAGTTGGGTTATTTAAATTCCTAATTGGGGGCCTACCTTTGCAGGGCTTGCAGGAGACGATGCCCAGGAAACCCAATAGACTGACCTCGTTGATGGGCAGGCTGGTGTTGGACCAGGCCATGTCTAAACGGCCACCGGCACAACACTCCTCCCTGCTTACTCCGCGCATGAGCACCATGTCACAGCGCTGCTCCTGGCTCTGCTGCAGCCAACACATGCCCGCTGCATGCACACACACACACACACCGCACGCACAGAAATACACACTATTACTTCTGTTGTTGGGTTTACCCAACACAATACTTATTTCCAGCTGGTTGGATTTCAAAGGAATATATTATTAGCATGATACAAATAAGCTTCTAATAAAGATGTAAATACATAAATACTGTTGCATGTGCTGAGGCTGTAATGTAAACGCCACTATTACAACTATTACTAGTCCACACAGCACCACTAGGATATGATGATGGGGTGCACGGCATTAGAATCATATCCACATTGGTAGATTATTGCTTAAAAACATTATTGGCACTGGACAGATGGAGTAGATTTGACCAATATTCCAAACAGATATTTGCTGATTTATTTAATGTACTCCAGAAGAGCGGAGCATTTAGATAACACTGGAAAAGCGCTCTAAAATGTCTGTATTAATTTTACTGCATTTTGTTATTGAACAAAACTTTGTATCTCCAAAAAAATAACTTTACAGGAGAAAGACACACAAACACAAACATTCTTAACTTTCAATGAAAGTGAGACGATTTTATTCCAAGTCATTTGGGATCATTTCTTTAATTCATCATGAAAGGCTGCAACAGTGAAAAGGCAGCTTGCTCTTTTCAAATTATGTAAAAATGAATATCCAAATGCACCTAGTCTCAATTTCTGTATCTAATAAATGTTAATGTATCTACATCAGCAGATACATACATGAAAAATATCAGAGTCCCACAGTTCCCATATTGGTGTATCTCTAATGTGCCCACCTGTGGCCTGTCCTAAGCTTCAAATAAGGCATTCTGCTTGATTTGCCATGTTTATAAAAGTTTTATGAAGCTATTAAAAACATTTATTAATTTAGATAATGTGCCTACGACTATGTGTGACAGATCTGCTTATAAAGTCAGGTTCTTACAGTGGTCAAAATAAATTAAAGTGTGATAAATACGACCTTATAACCCTAAACTGTTCTTCACCTGGGCCAACAAAATGTCTCTGTAACACTTTACTGCTCAGCACTGCTTTGTAATGACACTTTCTATGGTAAAACAAAGGTTATGTCACAGTGACTAATGATAAGACATAGCTTAACAAAACTGAACATGTTTTGTGGACTTCAGAAAAAGCTACTTTTATTTTACATTTATAAGAAGCTATGTGACTTCATCAGCTTTAAGTCACTGTGATATACACTAAGCAACTCGGTTATCATGTGTCATTTCACCCAAAAAAGTGTCATGACGATCCAATGTCAGAAAAAATAAAAAAACTGTGACGTCAAAGTTCACAAAAGCAGCCTTTAAGATGGATAAAAAGCCTTAATAAGCTTTTACAAGTCATAATAAGCCTTTATAAACGATTAATGTAGGTTTAATCCGGTTTTTATGAAGAGATTATGAGGGTATCATGTAGCCCTACAGTCAAGTGTTCATATAACCTTATAAACACTGTCCTACAGTCATGTTCTTGAAGCCTTATGAACACTGCCATACAGTCTAGTGCTCTTGAAGCTTTATGAACACTGCTCTACAGTCAAGTGTTTATATAGCCTTATGAACACTGCCCTACAGTCTAGTGTTCGTAAAGCCTTATGAACACTGCCCTAAAGTCAAGCGTTCATATAGCCTTATGAACACTGACCTACAGTCAAGTGTTGATATACTGTCTTACAGTCTAGTGTTTGTATAGCCTTATGAACACTGTCCTACAGTGGTGTTCTTAAAGCCTTATGAACACTGCCCTACAGTCAAGTGTTCATATAGCCTTATGAACACTGTCCTACAGTCTAGTGCTCTTAAAGCCTTATGAACACTGCCCTACAGTCAACTGTTTATATAGCCTTATGAACACTGCCCTACAGTCAAGAGCTCATATTGCCTTATGAACACTATTCCACAGTGTAGTGCTCTTGAAGCCTTATGAACACTGCCCTACAGTCAAGTGTTCATATAGCCTTATGAACACTGTCCTACAGTCTAGTGTTTTTAAAGCCTTATGAACACTGCCCTACAGTCAAGTCAACTGTTTATATTGCCTTATGAACACTGCCCTACTGTCAAGAGCTCATATTGCCTTATGAACACTACTCTACAGTGTAGTGCTCTTGAAGCCTTATGAACACCGCCCTACAGTCAAGTGTTCATATAGCCTTATGAACACTGTCCTACAGTCTAGTGCTCTTAAAGCCTTATAAACACTGCCCTACAGTCAACTGTTTATATTGCCTTATGAACACTGCCCTACAGTCAAGAGCTCATATTGCCTTATGAACACTACTCTACAGTCTAGTGCTCTTGAAGCCTTATGAACACTGCCCTACAGTCAAGTCTGCTTAACAGTTCAGTGGGCTAAAATACTCTTCTTAGATATTTGGCTCTGTTTCAGGATTCTTTTCCCATCGTAAAGTCAGCAGTGCGTGCACCTGCACAGTGTGCACATCTCATCAGCCTAAGTTTTGTTGAAGTTGGCTTGAGTGGTCGAGTTCACCGAGTTCGACATCCCTCATGATTTTACAGCCTCTTTGGATTTTACAGCGACTGAGAAGCTACAGAACATCTCTCACTCGCCCAGTTTCCCTCTCAGACAAAACAGAAGCTCTACAGCTCTGAGCTAAACGAGTAGAAAACTGTGTGCAACGTGTTGAAACTTACCGCTGGTTTGGTGTTTCCCCAGGATTTCACAGAACGAAATAAGCACCACACAGTGGAGAGCGGTGAGGAAGCTCATGACGGAAGTTCTCCACACAGACGGCCGTTGAAAGTGATAGGATTCCAGACAGAGCTGAGGAGGTCTGCTCGGCTGTAGCCGTCTTAGCGAAGCGCTGCCCTCGTTTACGTGAATGGGTTTGTGGTGAGTGATGTGGGTCCGCCTCTGTATAAACCTCCTGCTCTGAGTGAGTTATGCTGCTGGGTTGGGATGGGATGGGCTGGGCTGGGCCAGAGCTCCAGCCTGTAGGCTTCTCCAAGTGGACCGAGCTTGCCTGGCTGTGTCACTTCTCGGATATGAGGTAGAAAACTCCCACACCTAATCTCATTCACACTGAGTGGAATGGGCGTTTAATGGAAACCGGGCTGCTGCAGTGCGCTAGTTTCGACAGCTATACGTGGAAAACACGCCTGCTGTTTAGTCTGGGCTACTTCATCTGCATTCCTTCCTCCCACGACGTAAACAGTGCTTCAACAACAGGATAATCGTGTGTTCAATTCATGGCGCTGCTGTGGTGGAAGAAAGAAAAAACAACAAACCAGTAGCTTAGGCCTCACAGGTCTCATATAAGCATTCACGTTTGAGTTTTAAAGGGAAAGTCCAGCCACTTTTCTAACTTTCTGCATAATTCATAATGTGTATTCAGTCATTCAGAGATGTCTGATGTGAAGTGGTTCATTGTAGAGAAACTCTGATTTCTTTACAGTGGTGGTGATAGGAACCATAGGATGTCTATAACACAAATATAGCCATTTTATTTAATATCCAAAATGGCCAGTTAACCTACATGCTTGATATGTACTGTTGATAATGATAAAATTGTGGTAAATATGAAAAAAAAAGTCTTCTTTGGAAACTGTTTCACCTCACAACCTCCTGCATATACCTCTCCACCATTAAAGGGCAGTTTGAGCCATTTTTTTTTTGTTTAATTTATGTATATTTCAATATCTGAGATGAGAACAAAGTCAGAGTTGTTCAGTGTAAAATGGGGTTGAGAACCTTATTGGCTCTGATTTCTTTATAGTGGTGCTGATAGGAACCAGGGGTCACAATGTCTACAGCACAAATATAGCCATTTTATCTATTATGCAAATGGCTAGTTAACCTACATGTTTGACATGTAATGTTGATAATGGTAGAATTGTGGTAAATATGAATAAATAAGTCTTTGGGAACTGTTTTGCCTCACAACCCTCTGCATGTACGTCATCACCGTTACAGGGAAATTCAGACTTTTTTTGTTTAGTTTCTGTGTAATTCAATAACTGAGATGTGAACGGTCACACCGAGTTGTTCGATGTAAAATAGTTAATTGGAGAGAAACTTACTGACTCAGATTTCTTTACAGTGGTGGTGGTCAGGGGTCACAATGTGCACAACACAAATATAGCCATTTTATTTACTATCCAAAATGGTCAGTGAACCCCCACACATTTTGACATGTAATGTTAGTAAAATTGTGGTAAATATGAAAAAAAAACTAATGTATTTTGCCTCACAACCTCATGCATGTACTTGACCACCATTAAAGGGGAAATGTATAAATGTAAATAATGTGTATATTTCAATAATTGAGATGCAAAATCACACAGAATTGTTAAATGTGGTTTTATTGTAGAGAAACTTAATGACTTAGTTTCTTTACAGTGGCGGTGATAGGAACCAGGAGAACACAACACAAATGTACCTTGAGATTGTGAAAGGGGCTATATGAATGTAACTTAACTAATTATTGTAACTAATTATTATTATTATTATTATTAGTAGTAGTAGTAGTAGTAGTCTAAAATGGCCAGTTAACCTACATGTTTGACATGTAATGTTGATAATGGTAGACTTGTGGTAAATATGAATAAATAAGTCTTCTTAGGGAACTACTTTTTTTCCTTCACAACCCCCTGCATGTATTTCAACACCATTAAAGGGAAATTCAGGCATTGTTTAATTTCTGTATAGTTAAATAATTGAGCTGTAAAAAGTCACACAGAGATGTTTATTGTGAAATGGTTCCTTGTAGAGAAACTTCCTGACTCAGATTTCTTTACAATGGTGCTGATAAAAAATGAATCCAAAATCTTATCTCGAAACTATCAGGCAGCATATTTATAACCATTTCATGTTATAACTTTCTGTGATTTAACGCTTAACATAGTGAACAGTTATCACTCAAGTTTCTCTAGAACAGGGCATTTCACAACAAACCACATTGATTGATTGATTTTATTTATAAGAATGACTTTATGCAGTATACACAGCCTGGCATGTCACAGCAGTTTACTTTGCCATCCTGTGGGCTTCCTTTCTGCAACCTTTCCTCTGTGATCTTCATGTCCCATCACTGACTCACTCCCAGGTGTTTGTATGACTCTGTATCATCAGATCCGCTCTCTTGTTCTCCGACCGAGTCACCAGCACCTATTCACTGTGTCTCTTCTGCCCCTAAAATTATACACTAGTGATCACTAGTGATATGTATTCATTATATAAAGCTCATGTCAGACTCGCAGAGTAGATTAATGGGGTCTTCTAGGCCAGATGTGCCCTAGTCAGGTACTAGTAGTCCTGAGGTTTGCCACCTCATTCCTGGACGCTCGATCAGTGGCTTAATGTTTTAATAAATTCAGTGGATGGGCAGCTTTGCTCACAACGCAGTTGAAGGTAGATTAATATCAATTCAGCTACAAAACCTAATCTTCTCAGTTATCACGTTGAAGTGCTGCCTAGTGCCTACATGTCGCCAACTGTGCACCTTTCTAAAACCATTGTTCTAAACTTCATAAGAAATGCTAACATGAAAACGCTTGGGTTTCAGGACATCTGACAGCCTGACTGGGGAAATGCATATGGCATCTGTCCTTGACAGACATCCAAAGTCCAGGACAGCCCTGGAAAATCCTGGACAGGTGGCAACCTCAGTGGTCTACCAGCCTGGAGAGTAGACCCGGCCGACAATATAATACTGAGTATCCCAACATCTTTGGAAACTACGTCACCTCTCATTTTGAAAGTTGTTACTGTAAACATATGCATTTATGACTCCTTTTTACCGTTTTGGCACAAACTGAAGTGATTTCTACTGCATTTCAGAAACTGAAACATTTTGCCACACTGTGTATCTACATATCCACCTAGCAATGTGATCTTAAATAGATTCATATGATCTTTGATTCACTGCAAATATGTGGATATGAAAAGAAAAAAAAACAGCAAAACAGTCTCTTTTTTTGCATTTGTGAGCTCCTTCTGGTGTGGGTTCATGACAACTTGCCTCAAATACTGCCCCCAACAAGAAACTTTTGACTGTAACACATACTCTAAATGAGTGACTTCCAAAGCAGAACCTGCATATTAAAGTAATATTCATTGCTTTCACAGTAAAAGTTTTTTTAATATTAAGTAACAAACAGTATCGAGTCGCATCATTATAACGCCCAGGCCTACTGTAGAGTATAGTTCCAACCTTGATTTAGTTAATCAGGGCCTCCAGGAGCACCTCATAGTTAGAGCCAGTTGTGTTGGAAGTAAACCTCTCAAAGTGGGAGGTAGACCAATCAATAGCTCCATTTCCACAGCTGGACTTAAGCACTAGTGTACGAACCAGCGCTAACTGCATTTCCACAGTCAGTCCAGTGATTCAGTGAAGCTTACATTGAGCTTCCTCCGTGCCAAAGCCTCAGGCTTACAGCTCCTTCAAAATTCATGGTGTTCATCAAGGAAGGTGTTTATAAATAAGGGAATTAGACTAACCCTGTTCTTCTCTTCATATGAAAGATGGTGGAGTAGAATTAATTTAGCAAACCATGGTACAGAACATTAAGGTAACCGTTAAACATGGTAACCATAACACAGTAGACAAACACCATACCTGTGGTACTGCCGATGTTGAGTTCCTAGCTGCAGTGTTTCAATGCGGTTTGGAACATTGATTTAGACAGAGGGTCCTGTTCTTTAAATATCTGACTGAGGAAATGCAATCAGGATTGTTCTCATGGCTTTAGGCAGGGCGCTGACAGACTTGGCTCTGCTTGGCATGTACTGGTCTTCTCATGAAAGCGCTTACAGGCTAGAACTCAACCAAAGAGACCATTGTGTGATTCCATCTTGGCAAACAGGTCCCAGCACTGTATGCAGGACGCATCTTTTAGTTTTGCTCTCGTACAAATTAAAGCCTTCACGTTGTCGTTGCTTTCTTCACCCTGTCATCAAATTTTTCTTCAGGTTTTCATCATACAGTTTTTTGCATGTTTCACAAGTACATGTATTGCTATTTACATATTTGGCCGACACTCTTATCCAGAGCGGCTTACATTTAAACCCACAGTGAGCATAATATGCAATTTTGCGCCTGTTTGGAGGAGCTCCCTCAGTTAGACTATGCATTTTTTCCCTCAGCAATGTTTTCTATTATCTTATTATCTCTATGTTATCTAAAATCTAATTCTGCCGTGGGGCCGCAACAGGGCAGTAAAAGAGCCCCATGTGGCTCTGGAGCCACATGTTGCCGACCCCTGTTACAGGGTCTGGTGAGCCTGTTGGCTATTTCAGCCACATTCTTGCCATCCCTGCCTCTCAAAATGGAGCTAACCTCAAGACAAGGCCTTCAGAACACTAATGAAATCACTCTGTTGTTGGTTTTAATCAGTTTTCTGGTGTTGTTATTACTTAAGAAATGTATGTAAGTCAGTTGTGTTATTTCAATGAAATGAAGTGAGTTATCTGATCTACACTGATCAGTCATAACATTATGACCACCTCCTTGTTTCTACGCTCATTGTCCATTTTATCAGCTCCACTTACTATATAGGTGCACTTTGTAGTTTTACAATTACAGACTGTAGTCCATCTGTTTCTCTGCATACTTTGTTAGCCCCCTTTTACCCTGTTCTTTAGTGGTCAGGACCCCCCATGGACCCTCACAGAGCAGGTACTATTTGAGTGGTGGATCATTCTCAGCACTGCAGTGACACTGATGTGTTCAGAATAGTCCACCAACCAAAAATATCCAGCCAACAGTGTCCTGTGGGCAGCGTCCTGTGACCACTGCTGTGTCTGATCAACTCGTAACAGCACGACACACACTAACACACCACCACCACGTCAGTGTTACTGCAGTGCTGAGAATGATCCACCACCCAAATAGTACCTGCTCTGTGAGGGTCCATGGAGGTCCTGACCACTGAAGAACAGGGTAAAAGGGGGCTAACAAAGTATGCAGAGAAACAGATGGACTACAGTCTGTAATTGTAGAACTACAAAGTGCACCTATATAGTAAGTGGAGCTGATAAAATGGACAATGAGCGTAGAAACAAGGAGGTGGTCATAATGTTATGCCTGATCGGTGTATTTCATAAGTGTTTGTTTGATCAGTGTAGTCTTGTTGAG